TTATTATTAAGTTAATTTTGTATAAGATTAAATAAATTATTTTATTTATTGCTTTCAATTTTTTTCTCCAACATAAGAAATGAATAAAAAAATATGATATAAATAACAAATTATTAAATAATTGTTATATAAAACATATATATAATTGAAGGAAACTAAAAGAAAAGAACTTGAAAAATAAACAATAATGCAAAGTAGAATTGTCATTCCAACAAAAATATCAGACATTGAATTATTAATGAAAGACCCCATAAGTCCAATAGAGAGCAGAAAAGAACTATACCAAGGAGAAATGATTATTGCTGGCATAGTTATATATCATAATAGACAAGTCTTATTTGAAGAAGGTGAAATTGGAGTTATAAAATTCTCTGAGATTAAACCAAAAATTGTTATTGTTACACAAACGAATATATCAACAGGTGTATATCTCAATCAAGAAGAAGTAAATAAAATAGATTCTTTTATTTTAAATAAAGAAGAAAATATAACAATTAATTATGATACAATCGGTAAATGGAATGACATAATGAAAGGAAATAATTGGAGAGTTATTGTTGTAGATAAATATTGTTCAATTCATTTATTAGTTTTTAAAGTATCTATAGAGTCAGAACATTTTAATAAACCAATTTATTTAAGAAGTACATTTTGGCCACAAATGAGTATAGACCTTTATAAAAGATATCAAGACACATATTTTACACAATCTTTTGAAAAGAATGAATTTCTTATTAATACTCTTCCAATTAAAATATACAAGCCAATAACAATACAAAGAAAAATAATTAATAATGTTGTTTGTATTACATTAACTAACAATTTAATTATTCCAGTTAAAGTTAAATCATTTAATATTTATTCTAAATTACAAATAGGAGAAATACCAAAATTTCCAATCACTTTAAATCCATATGAAAGTTTTACAATTGCATTTCCTATTCATTTAAAAAAAGAGTTTGTTGAAGAAAAGGTTGAAGAAGGAATAAAGTCTATTAAAACTACCATACCCCCAAAGATGCTTTCACCATCAAGTTCATTATTAAATATGAAAGTACCTGATAAACCAACACCTCAACCTTCAAAAGATAGTAAACTTAAACGTAAATTAATAAAAGGACTCAGTAGAAAAATAGAAATGGATACCCTTCAACCAATAAATCTAATGAGACAAAGCATGTCAATAGAAGATAGTTTTCTTCAAGAAGAAATTAGCAATGGAACAAGTGTTGATAAAGAGATTCAAAAAATACATAAAGAACTACTTACTATTGAATTAAGTTATAAAACAAAACAAATGGTTGGAAGTATTTATCAAGAACTATCGTATAGCATTGATACTATTAAATTTCATTTTATTTCTATTAAATATAATATTCCGAAACATATCTACGCAAATACTTCTTTTAAAATTCAATTTGATATTCATTATAATTCTTATAAACTTCGTCACCTTCTTTTTATTATAAATCAAATTGATCGTCCAGATGAAATTGATTGTCTTCATCCTACTTTAGATATTGGTATATTTAATAAACCTACTTTACTTTCTGTATCAATTGAATTTATGGCAAATAAACCTGGAGTCTTTTCTTTACCTCAAGTTTCTTTAAAGGAAACAAGAACAAATGAAGTATTTGTAGTTTATAATTTGTGTGATGTAGTTGTAGAAAATGAAGTTAAAGTTTAAATAAATAATACTTAATTTAAACTTTATTTTAATTATCTCTTTTATTTATTTTATTATTTTTTTATATTAAAAAAACCATAAAAAGTTCCATAACAACCCATTAAATTTAAGCAGTTTTGTCAGCTTTCTTTTCTTCAGCAACTGGAGCAGCTTTTTCTTCGACAGCAGTGGTAACAGTTAAAGCAGCTTGTTGTTTTGCTTTATCAGCAAGATCTTTATTAAGTTTATTTTGAATCTTCTTTTGTTTTTCATTATGTTTGAATCCATTAATTCTACCACCGAATTCTCTGTACATATGAGCATTCTCGAAGTAAATAGATTTGACGTTTTGAACAAGTGATTCAAATGCAGCTTTGTCTTCTTTCTTAGTTTCAGTAACAGCAACAACTGCAGCAGTTGGTCTGTGAATTAATTGTCCAAGTCTAGCCTTTCCTTTAACAATGCAGTATGGGACTTGTAATTTCTTGCAAAGATATGGAAGATAAACAACCATTTCTAATGGTTCAACATCATGAGCAATAACAACTAATTTAGCTTGTTTTCTTTCAATTAATCTAACAACATTATTAATACCATAACTAAGAGTAGCTGGTTTTTCAGTTTTCTTTGAAGCAGTAGCTTTTTCTCCTTTTTGTGTTTTTTCAGCTAATTCTTTAGCAGCAGCTCTAATTCTTTGTAATTTAGCAGCTCTTTCTTCTGGTTTAATGTGATCAAGAATCTTGAATAATTGAGTAGCATTAGTTTTATCAAGAGTATGATTGGCAAAGATGTTGACTGCTGGTGGGGTCTTTAATCTTTTCATTAATAATCTCTTTTCCTTTTGAATTCTAACATATAATGGATATTTAACATATCTAGTCAAATCACGTGGATGAGCTACATTACCTTTTCCAAATACCTTCTTATTAGCAACGATAAGTGGGTTGGTTTGTTTTGCTTGCTTTTGCTTATTAGCCTTTCCAGACATGAAAAGAATGCATTAAAAGTAACCCTAAAATTTCATTTTCAAGATCATTTCAGAATTATTCACTTTTTAGTTACAATAAAATAATAATAATAAAAAAAACTAAAATGTATAGTTATTAAAGTGGATATTTAAGATTGTTCAAGCAGAGTACTTAATGAACAGGAAGAATCCTAAGAAGAAGATAAGGACATAACAACCAAACACAATAAATGTACTTGTTGGACCAGTTATTGACTCTTCGTAATATAATGTTAGTTGTACTTTATCCATAATATTAATATTTTTCATTGTAACTAAAATTTCTTTACGTTCAGCAAAAGATAAAAAGGCGTCGCAGTCTTTTACTTCAATACCTTCGATATTTTTTCCTTCTACTTTAAGGTATTGAGCATTATCTGGGAGATACACACGAACAAGGACTTCTTTAGCCATAGCAGTTTTAATAGATGGTAAAGTGATGATTGCTTTACCTTTAGAAATAACAACTTCATTAGGAAGACTATAACCAATCATGAACTCTGTTTTCCAACCAGTTAATAAAGGATATCTAGGAAGTGCCATTAAAACTAAATTATCATCATTTAGAATCATAGCTGAAGTAGAGATATTTCCAGATGTGTCTTTGTATTGAATAGATGATGCACGAGTATTTAAATTAATTTCAAAGAATCCAATTGCATTTGGATAATTACCTATATTTTGTTGAAAATCAAATCTAGAAAATCCACTCGATAATTGAGCACCTTCATTCGTAAAACCTTCAAACCAATCTTCAACTTTAACAAAAGAAGATATTGTTGGTAATTCAACGGTATGTATCATTTTATCAACTTTAATATGAGGTAATGAATTTGAATGTACAATTGTTTCAACTAATTCCATTGGAGATAAATCGTCAAAAGGACCAAATGCAGTAGTGTTTTTAATGGTATTATATTTTGTATCAGAAATAACTTTTAATTGATCATAGTGATGAAGAATAACTTGACACGATTTAGTTTTTGATTGAGTCAATGGACAAAGAAGAAGAGTATAATCGAATTCTTGTGAATCAAATTGACTAATAAATTTTGGAACAGGAAGATAGTTGTTGATTTGTATATAAGCCATTGTGAGAGAGATTTTAGGTGTGTCTTCAAACTCAACAATAAATTGAGTATATTCTGTTTCATTATGAATTGTAAAAG